CCCAACTTAGCACGTATACCTTTGGACCACCGCGGTGATGGGCGGGACGGGCGGTCCGTAGATGACTTCTGGAGCGATTCTCATGTTTCGTAATCATTTTGCAGCGTGACTTGGGCACTTTTAAGTTTTGGGGCCTCGCTAGTGTGTTACGGTAATTAGGTGGACGGTGGGCTTCAAACAATCTGTATACTACGGAACAGAAATTTTGCGTACGAATTCAGATGTTTCGAGCTTTTCAAGGCGTAATGTTTTTGCTGACATCGATCCTAAGAGAAGACAAATTTCTTGTTCTGAAGATATATGTTGATTGTGAATCAGATAAAGATGGGACCTCCATCTAAAACTATCGTTTGAAGCAGCGGGCAGAGAACCGGCGAAGTATTGGCAAGCATTTGGAATGTTGTCGTCAGTTATCTGAGCAAGGGAGCTGAATGTCTGTTTGTCTGTCTGTCTGTATGTCTGTCTGTCTGTCTGTACGTATGTTCCGAATAGAAAATTCCATTTCTGAACCGATCGGGACCAAACTTAGCACATATACACTTCGGGCCCCGGCGGGTGTCATAGGCTACTTTTCGTTATCGATCGATATCGATTTTATCGATTTTTTGCAAAATTTGAGCTACGGGGCTGGGAGTTAGCACAGGGGGGGGGGGTAATCGAGCATGCTGATCACCCCCCTTGGGGGTGATCAGCATGCTCGATTACCCCCCTGTGCCAACTCCCAGCCCCCTAGCTCAAACTTTGCAAAAAAATCGATAAAATCGATAAAAGTAATCGATAATCCCGAAAACAAATATTGTATTCGGAATCCCCATGCTCGATTACACCCCTCTGCCAAATTCCAGCCCCCTAGCTCAAATTTTGCAAAAAATCGATAAAATCGACATCGATCGAGAACGAAAAGTGGACTGTGACACCCGCCGGGGCCCGAAGTGTATGTGTGCCAAGTTTGGTCCGGATCGGTTAAGAAATGGAATTTTCTACTCGGAACATACGGCGGAGCCGGGTAAGCCAGCTAGTATCCTATTATACCAATGTTTTCAGGGAGGATTCTACAGCAGTTAACTTTTGGAAAATGGGATAGTAAAGGTTTTTACACCTCGATGATAGATAGGCTTGTGCTCTTTTGTTATTAACTCTTCGAGCATAAAGTTTGGCAGCTTGCGGGGGGGGGGGGGGTAGCTCACCTCTGAAATACGAAGTTTTTCAGAGGTGAGCTACAAGTTTTTGTATGCCTGAATTCATTGAAGCTTTCGAACAGCAGCTACTTTCTCGTTATCGGAAATAATTCACGCGTCCGTCTGCTGAATAGGAAACTTGAATTCTTTGGTTTTTTCCTTGCAAAACACAGCTTGGAGGTTAACGTGCCGTTTAGCTGTTCGGCCAAACTTGGAGGCAGTGTCGGCAAAATGGCCCGTTGTCGGATACTGGCACTGTTAGATACTAGACCATTCAAACACACCATCCCAGTTCCACCTTCGTAATCTTGACTGGATCCCAAAATCTTGCTTTAAAGTTCCACCACTGACGCCCAGTCAACGAAAGTGGGCGGGCTGATGAGGTTTCGAAGCACGATTACAGGACTCAACCCGTGAATTGGCAGATGGAATTGGGGCTAATATCTACGGGGTCCCTACCCAGCAGTACCAGAATATGACGAGGGTACATTTTGCCGAGTCCTCTATTCATCACTTTTCCCCACTACTTGATCACTTTGTCCCCACAGAGGATGCTATGCGTGTAGACCTTCGCAATCCACTAGTGGCGGTCCTAGGATCCCCTCGGAGAACAAAAAAATGTTTTCCGAATAAATGTGCGTGGCATTATCCGCGCCGAAAATTTCTTGGGATACTTCTAAAAACTTTTGCGGGCGCACTACTTTGCGGCCGTTACGCCTCGAAAATTTTTTCAAAGCTTTTCAAACCCAGAAAAATCGGAAATCATCTCAATCATTGGCAAATATGTTAAAGTCATTCACACCTTTGAACTCATGTAAGTAACTCTTGAAAATGCTCGCGATCCATTTTCCCGTCCTACTCGATCCATCTGTGCAATCTACGTTGTAACTCATGGCCAACAAAACTCCGTTGACTTAGCGTTTGTTCTACTAACTTAGGTAAATCCAACACAGAAATTTGCCTCCCTGTAAAAAATATTGCGTTCAACATTCTTACGTAAAGAAAGATGTGTTCAGTTGGGACCTGATCATATCTGGTAACAGGGCAGAGGAAAGCGGAAGTGCAGATTATTCCGTTTACTGGATATCATTTCCGTGACCTTATTGGACGTTTTTTGAATTTGACAAGACGTCTAATATCTTATAGATAATCCAATTAGAATGATAAAATTATTGTCAGAGTATCTAGTTATGAACTTGAGAAGAATAGAATTGCTTACAGAACGGTCAAATATTTGCAGAGTAACTGCTGTTTTCGTTGTTTATCATAGGTGGCCAAAGCCGCATCTTCTGAATCTCTTCCAGGTCAAATCTTTGATAAATCTATCAGCGGGGGATTTATATGCATTGCCTTATTGTGCTCGAACATAAATTGATTCGGAATGTACACATACACATTCTTCTCTCAGACCACTTCATGCTATGTTACATTCGCAATGGTTGTTCGTAGTATACGACCCTCCATTACTTCTCAACGCATAACATGCGAGTTCTACTGAAAAAGCAACTCAGCGCGGTTGTTTGAGTTCGACTTCGGTTTTATGCGTCTCAAAGGAATCGAAGCCCCGGCGTGTGCATCACATGAGTATTTTTTGTGAGACTTTTTTGCAAACGTTTTCTCTCGTTCGATCCCTAGCGCAACTGTCATCCACAAGCATTCGTTACGGGAGTGCATTGAACATTTTGTTTAATGGGGACTTTCTTGTTGAATAGGTGCTTGCTTTGCTATTAAAGCGTACCCGTTTTTGAGCATGGTTAAGTTTCTTAGCACATGTTTTGGTTATTTGATGAATTGAGAAAAGTTTTTTTGACAAAATGTTTCCTGGATACTCTCTGTCTATGCAGCACTATACACTCGGTTTCATCCCGGATTAGGCGGACATTCTCCGAAGAGCGGCGCGTGCGCATCGCTGGAGGCTTCACAAGCGCATAGCCGGGCATTTTGCCAAGCAAAGAGTAAAGAGAATGAAAAGACGCAGATCTGTGTTCTTCAACGATATGATATACTGTAGTTGCGAAACGACGCCACTTGCGAGGCGAACGTCCTCCAATCCAATTTCCATCTAAAGCGGGTCGGAACTTAGTGTAGGTGGTCTTCAGTGGCGTACCGACGCAGACAGTCGCAAATTAGTTCCGGGGAAAATTGAAGTTCTAAAACTTCCGGGGGGACACTTTCAATGGAGCTGCCAGGTAGGGCGAGACCCACATGGTCCATTAGGAGCATCCGCCCCGGAGGTTTGAGAAGTTCAGTTGAAATTTTTGAAATCCACATGAGTTATAAAAATATGGAAGTGACTTGTTTATATTTGTAGACAATGAAAATCATTTGCGGAAATCTTGGAAAGCATACCAGAAATTTTTTCGGAGTGCTTGTTTTTCTGATGAAATCGTGTGCTAACGCCACGCACCTTCATCAGAAAAAAATTCTTGTCTCACCCCCCCCCCCCTTCTGAATGGAGTTTCACTGATACTCATATAATTCAGGTTACAAGCACACCATGTGAATTTGAAAAAAAATCGATCTCTTTGGATTGGTAAAATGTTATTTGTCTAGATATATTATAAAGCGTTAGCATTTTTACCTCATTTTAAATTACGCGTTCAAGTACACCCATCACCATGCCAAAAGTGAAAAAGCTTGCGACATGGCATCTCGTGTTGCATAGATGGAGATTGGGAATCGAAACATGCTCCATATACAGTGGTTTTTGAACATTCTTCAGGATTCCACGATCTAACCCATAAATAGCCACTTAATTGACTTTTATATATAGGTTCAAAATCATTCCCAAATCAATTATCCCTTTTGGAAACTGAACTCTTTAAAATTACTTGCTCCAGACAATGCATAATAATGTGATTTTTATTATTACATATATCCCCTTTTTTGATCGTGTGCGGGCTAACAATTATCAGCGCTTTCTGCTAACATTGTACTTCTTGTTTTTGCAAGTATGAATTTATCTCTACCATTTGACGAAGTAATTGACACTCACCTAGTCGCTTGCTGAGAGCAGCGCACTATATCGTTGTACTTGTCCACACTGATGCTTGTAATGCTAAGAGCAACATGAACATACTGACGGGTGCAACGCAAATTTTGTTAGCAAATTCCCTTTGAAGCCTCTAACTTTGTGTAGTCGTATCTTGTAGTATGGGCTAGAAGGTGAATTTCTTGGCCGTGAATAAAACGTGTGCGTTATAGCTAGAGCAACACCTAGTTAGAAACGCAACCCTTCAGTTTCCAAGTGGAAAATCCATGTTTTACTAGCCGCCTGCACTTTGCTGGGGCAATGAGTCCAGCCAGTTTGCGACATAAGATTTTCCACTTCTTGCTTGGGTAAGTCCAAGCGGTTCATGGAGAGGAGTCGAATTTGCAACATGCCTTTTCTAGGAAAATATCTTTATAACGCAGGGATACGTAGAGGCTGATGATGGTATGCACAATTTGACCTGGGTAGAATGATTGAAAAGTGGAGGTGACACGTATATCTATAATTTTTTGGAGCCATCCATTGATATGTATGCATTGGAACATTTTTTTTTGTCTGGAAAACCCTTAGCAGAAGGAGTCGAAGGAGGTACATAATTGCACCTGTTACTCATGAAATAATATCATCCTGCTCTCAGTTCTCTGTGATCTGTAGAACAATCTTGTCTTGCATTCGCCGGGTATCGGTCACTCTCTGTTCGCGAAGGCCTTATCACCTGGTCTGCACCATTCGAAGCTTTCGTATCAGGTTTATTCGCGCATTTGTCAATGATTCCGGCATCAGTGACTCGCATTGTCGTAAATAAGGTAGAGAATATCTTTGCTTTACAGGAACATGGAAAAACGTCGCGAAACATCTAGATATGCTGCTCGAGATCGACGAGGAAAGGAATCAGAAATATTCAGTGATCTCCGTGCAGTGTGTTCTATGTTGATGCGGTTTTCGCTCCTATATACTCTTGTTAGAAAGATATCAGTTTAGGTCGTACCCATCGTCGACGAAGGTAGCGTCACCCATTTAGATAGGATAGCTGTGCTAAGGGTCAGTTCCGCATGGTGTCGGATAAGGAAAACAGCACCGAACGGTTAGCAACGATTTTCATCATGCAGTTTTTTGCTAGTTATCTGTAGTCTCTGTTTTAGTGCTGAAACCGTCACTGGTGGGCCCTGAAGTCACTAAAATAGGCCAGGAGCTTTGGTGTGAGGACACGATTACAGAGGCTTTGGATGGCTTTATAATCATTGCCGACAGCGATGGTACCATTCTATGCGTCACTGAGAGTGTGTGCCTGTACCTGGGTTTGAGTCAGGTTTGCATCTTCTCACCATCTGTATTATTATCCAGCTAGCGATCAGTCAGCACTTCTACGATAGGCAAAGTCGTTGAAGCGCAGCGGCGATAGCCATATCACCTATCTGGTTGGTAAACAAGCTCTAAAATTTAAGTAGTGGTCGTTTTTAGTCCGATCATTGCTGACTCAGCCAGCTACTAAAAAATGAGCAGCTGTTACACAGTCTACATCATCCGTCTTCAACTTCTTTATGAATTAGATAGTTATTAGTCTGATTATTTGAGAGCAGAGAGGCGAACCGCGTTATCGGCGACAATCGATTATCACGCAGCGTCTGCTAAGAACAGCATGGTGTGATAGATGAGAGAGAAATCACAATGCAGTGGAATAAGAACAGAGATTGGGGACCGAAATTCAGTTGGGTGGATACTATTGGTTTGTGTATTGTATGCCACAATTTGCTGACTACCTTTGGTTATTTATGCAACGTCTCGGAGAAATAAGCATTTTTCGACCATTTTTCTTCCATTCAGAGGACTACAACACAAATCTTATGAATAATTTCTAGTCGAAAAACCACTGCGACTGCGAATTGGAAGCAGTGTCATGTCATCTCCTACTAGTCGTAGTAGAATAGAACCATTTTCACGAGGAAGTTATAAGTTTTTGCATTGTAATTGGTCCGCTGTTTTGCGCAGCCATCTTCATCTATCAAATCTTCCAGTACCTTTTTGAAGTTTTCTTTCAATGAATTTGCAACACAGTGCAAAAGTAGATGGCTTTTCTCAAGAAGCCATGGTTCAAAAGTACATGGCTTCTTTTACCAGAGCATCTCCGGTGTTGATTTAAATAGCCGGTATTTTGATTTGTCCTCTAAGCTACTGACGACCATCCAATGGCACTTTGCAGACCTTATCCCCAGTATCGTATGTTACGGTCGACCTGCATCGACTAGGAGAGTCTTGCGCGGGACTGACCACGAAGGTGGTGGGTCTTCTCGCCATGGCATGGAACCGATGCAAGTCATCCACCGAACACGGTAGCGGGGTTTGGTTTGGGGACGATATCTCAGCTGTGAGCGCACCGTCTGCGCTATTGCCTGGACAGTGTTTGAGGCCCGTATGCACGAACATTCCTGCTGCAAGGGCAATGGATCTTTAGTATGGAACGACCGCAGCGGCTTTAACCGTGGCCCTTCATAACGAAGGACGCCGCTCTTCTCGCCGCAAGGATGTTCATGCATACGGGCCTAGGTTGTACCTCAGAATCAATTTCCACGTGCTATCCCATATATCCAAATTTGCTTGGGCGCTGCCGATAATCACGTTCACCCAAATTAAGGAGGGGGGGGGGTTAGGTTTTATGACAGTGTGTAGCGAACCCTAATTTGGTGATTATTCAAGTCCTGCTGCAAAAAGTGAAATCGAAAGCGGGAAAATTGCTCCGAAAAGTAGAGGCGGTGGTGGTGGCTTCGCCCATCATCGTGTGTGGTTGGGAGATAGCAGGCCCAAAATTGGACTTGTATTGTCGAAAATGTTGTAATTATAATGAAAGACGAATACAGTTTCGAATATCAAGCCCAATCAGACTTGCTGTCTGCAGCCCATCCATGTTGATGAGCGGAGCCACCATCGCTGTTTCATCCTTAGTAGGATTGGTTAGTCAAAAGCCTTGCTATCGTACTGCATCAAAATCTCATCAACTTCCGTTTGAGTGAAGAGGCGTTTAGAGATGAAGGCCTGACACGGTTGAGTATGTTCTATCATGCAGAACTAAAAATTGTAGTTGCTGTCTCAATAATGTGATTTTTGTAATACTGGTCTTTGTATATGTTGTAACTGGGTTTGACGAATGAGTTCTATGTTTTCAATTCTACGGAAGTACTAATAGACACATGGTGAGCTTTTCAGACCGACCTGGTTGGTCGAGGACTCAAGGAGTTTCTGCACCCGAATGACTACGCTGAGTACGTGGAAGCTACGAATGCGCTCGGTGCTGTTCTCGTCGAGCATCCTGATGTTTCCAAATCTCCTGAAAATGGGTTGTATGCTGAGCTGCGAATGAAAACCGTCATCACTCAACGCGGACGTAATCTCAACCTAAAGAGCGCGCTCTACAAGGTGAGAAGAAGTAGTTTACATCAGTGTTGAAAAGGGTAGCTGCTAAATTGCCCATCTAAACTAAGCGTGTTGGCATTCGCAATGTTCTTATCAAAATTAGTTAGACTTTTCTGAATTTTATCGCGGTTCGGAGTGTTCAGTTATGATTCCCGTTCAGAGAAAGACATCTAAGATTCCTTATTGAAAAGATTATTCTCTGCTGTATGGGAGAATCGGTAGCGAAAAAATATTCAGAGGCTGCTAGTTTGTAGTCAGTGCATTCCCTTTATTAATGGAGCGCTATGGCGGACGCAAAACCATATGTGATTTACAAAAGTAGTGGAGACGGTGACATAGCAGAAAATAGTAAGAATTTTTTTTGTTATTCAGGCGGCTTTAGTTTTGTACATCACCGTCTTATATGTTTTTGAAAGCCTGATTATCCTTCTTACAGAGTTTTTTCGCTAATGAATCACCACAAAACTGTTTCTTTCCTTATCACTACTTAGTAAATGTCTACTGTTTTGCTCGTTTCAAAAACAGTTTGATGGATTGTTGCCAAGACTTATTCTATTTATTATTGCATCATTGCTTCTTGAGTCACCCTCGTTTTCGTAGATTTTCCGGTTTATCAATTTAGAAAAAAAAAGTGTGCACAACTTCCTCTCCAGGAATTTATGTGCATTTCCGATAGTGTAGAAAACTATCTAGAGCTGAGTTTTACGCAGCTCTGATGGATTGTTCTGAAATTCTCTTCAGTACAAGCATAGACTATTCTGCGAACAACCAACATTGGTTTGTGTATTAGAATTAACTGCCAATATGACCTTATACCTTCAGCAAGCTAGCGGCGTAGGCGTCATTTTGATGGCTGAAATGTTCATACTGGGTGATCGAAGGTCCACTCTCAGCTGATTACGATTATTTTCTGCCGAAACATAATAAATGAAGTTATCTTGATCTATTGACAGAGACAAGTACTGTAAACAGTGCAAACGGTGATGTGGTAATCGTGCTGGATGCCTGGGGAGAAGGGGCGTATGGGCGAAGAGGAGCAACAATTTCGCTTATTGTCCCAATAGGGGCAAATCGTTTTCGTCTGGAGATTCACATTGTCACATTAATGAGCTATTTTCATCCCGCAAATCTATATCTGTATAGGTGGAGGGAAAAGCAAACATGTCCAAGGCAGAATCGAAATAGGCGTGCAGAGGTAACTGCTATTGAAGGGTCACACTATTAAACATTTTCCTCAACATCAATCGTCTTTCGTTCAGTTATCACTCTTGTGCCTTCTATCTTTTACATATTTCTAATCTAATGCTATGTGTATCTGAAGGCGAAACAGTTTTATGTGTTGAATTATTGAATCAAAACATATCTGTGTGAATTGACAGCACTTCTGAAGTTTTTAATGAGAGTCAACATGAAGACGACCTTGCGGTCTCGCTGTTTGTAAAGCCATTTATTCGCGCTCTGATTCTGGTTAATATTGTGGACATTGCTGTCTGCGATTTACCGGAAATATCTTCCTCGGTTTTTTTTTCAAGTACCGCAGTGCCCTTTTCTTCCTATCAATGCTTTCTTCAGTTTCATATGTAGAAAACCAAGGTTTATGATAGCCGCATATTTGTATTTCATTGTCATTGTCCGAAATTGTTTAGATGTTAGTGATCACATAAACAATTGTCATTTAAGCCGATCTCATTCATCCTGCGGGCAGAACGCTCCCTGGGTGGCCATGTCGTTCGTATGCATGCATCATCCGAACCGGCTGGACAAGGTTCCGTCAATGCTCATGCTACTGCTCTCACAAAGGTCAGCGTTGAGGTCCAGTCTAGTCCTGCCACCTACAACTTCTTCCATTGATGTTCAGAAGTTGTTTTATGCTTTTTGTTCGGTTTTTTGTGTGCTTCCTCTCATAGATATATCTGATTTAGTACGCGGACACGCCAACGGGTTCTTTCATGACACGCCACACTTCAGACATGCGGATATCGTATGTTCATGATCGCCTCAACTACATCTTAAGGAATGAATTAAAAACACTCATGGGCGCAAGCTTCTTTGAGTTGATCGACCCTAGCGATTTGTTATCTTTCCGCGAGGTCTGTTTGTTTTTCTTGACAGTGCCATAGCACTGACATTTTTTTTTCAGTCGATGAAAGTGCTTTTCGCGAAGGGTCATGTACGCACTCCTCTATATCGCTTATTGGCGGCGAATAATGCTGTAGTTTGGGTCACAACCGAAGCGTCGACTGTCAATCACACATCTAAAGGTCAAAGAGCTCAATATGTGATTTGCGTACACCATATTGCAGGGTTAGTAAAACGCGTCATTGTAAATGTTGCACTGTTTCACATCTGTACAATTTAGGATCAAAAGCGCTATCGAAGATGCCACCTCAGTGCCCGAAGGAATACCAGCTGGCATTGCTGTTCAAATCAAAAAAGAAGTGGATGATACGAGAGGTTTGTGACATGCATATCTGCTTCTGTTTGATACAATGTAGAAAGTTTGTAGACTATATGGGTCGTCAACCACATGTGGACGCCAGCGGTGCTACTGACTTCCAAATGCAGCCGTTCAGTGGACGAGAAGATTTTAGCGTAATGACTCGGCTCCTATCGTTTGGAGATGCAGAAGCTAGCAAAGCAAGCACCATTGAAGGTAAGATATTCTTTCTGGGCCAAGACTTTGCATTTGATATCTTTGGTCGATCCTTGCAGTTAAGTGCCAGATTTGCTTTTCCTTTTGCCATTTTATTTGCGTTATTTTTTGCATTCATTTCGCACTGTGTTTGTGTAGTCTATCGTTTGGCATTTCTCGAAGCGTAAAATGCATATTTTTCTTGCTTATCAGTAACACAAGCGAGGTATTGTTTCGCTCAGATATAGCTACTTTGATGAATATACATTTCTCATAAATAGCGGTCGTTTTTGCCCTCATTTTATTGGTTAAGCACATCGTAGATATGTTTCGCTCAAAATATCGATGTAGGAAGTGATCGGTCCGTGACGGGATTTTCGATCCAAGATTGTAGCGGCTGTGACAACGATGACGCTGACGACGAACGCCAGAACTGTTTATATACCCATGACTGTCTAAAAAAACGGAAACGTATTGCACCAAGATTTCCCAGTCCAGATCTTTCGAAGCGACCGCATTTCGACTCTTCGGACCGCCTAACATCTGATTTCGAAACAGAAGAGGATCTCGAAACCGACGAGGTGCTCACATGTTCAAGCTGTTTACTTTTACAACTGGAAAACAGTCTGTGTACTCTGCTTCAAGGAACATCTTTGAAGATGGATATATGTTTGCCTCGTTCGAAAAGTAGCGGAGTTCGCGCACTGTCAAATCGCACACTTCCCCTGGATGTAGTCGTCGTCAGTCATTGTTGTCCGCCAAATAAAGCCCGTCTAGGATCGTTTAAATCTGAACTTCGATGTAAACCAATGTAGCTTCTTTGTCTTGTTTTATTTATGCATTACCAATCCTATGCTTTTGATCCCAGAAAATGTAAGATTGGCGCACTTTTATGTGCAACTTTGCAGGATGTGGTGAGATCCGCAGCCGGGCGTATTCGGATACATTTTTTCGCAGCCAGTCAGAATGCGCATCACAAAGCTTTGGGCAGGTAATGATAGATGTATTTTTATTCGCAGTTTTGGCTAAGTTTCAAATTTTTTATCCTTCTGATATTTTAGTGGTAGGTATCTAGCACCCATTTTTGCAGCTTGAAAGACACTCTCCGCCTAGCGACCCCTCTTTGGCCGCGACGCGTGTCGTGGCTACACCGTCTTGTAGCCCCACCGATGAGGGCTCTCCCGCAGGTACTCTCGCCCGAGGAGGTGGAGCAGGTTCGCTTTGCGCTCTAATTGTAACTGGGTCGCTATATTTGCATTTTTTTTTCAAGGATCTTCGTGTTCCCCTCTGGCTGAGGGCGTCTCGCAATGCGGCTTGTATAGTCCGCCCTCGTCAGCACGATCAAGCCTCACTGGAAAACATGATCGACATCTGGGCAGCAGTCAGCCCGCCCCTCGCCCACGAAGCCTTTCCACCGTTTCAGCACCAAGTAAGCTTCATGTCCATCGTGTTTTTTTTCTGTTCCTCTTTCTTAAATGCGTTCAGTGTCTTTGTTTTATACATATTAATTGATTTTCCATGTGTATTCCTTGTTTCGTTCGTTTTCTCTATTCGCCTTTATTGTCGCTCTCTCCTGGTAAGCGCATTTCGATATCTTGCATTGTGCTATGAGATTACTTTTGATATTTCTTGAGCTACCTCATCTTCGTGGAGTAGTTTAGGTTTGAACGGTTTATATGAATCGTGTAGAGAGCAGCTTATGCTTGCAATAATATGTGACTTTCTAGTTTATAAAATAGGTAGACAGGAGAGAGTACTTTTCGTAATTTACAATCAAGATTATTCTGTTGCTGTGAGGTGTGACTACAAATATCACAATCTTGAGCAGCGATTTAGTTGCGTTAATTGAAGCCTTCTATATTTCCGGACTTGCTGGTTCACTTTACTCTTTATCCGATATTGCTTTGTTTTCATATTTTGGGGTTAATTTGTTGCAGTGTTAGATCAAAAAAGGCGGTTATTCAGCTTTAGAGCGTTGAGTTCTTTGAGAACACTGGTATTCTTGCTATCAGGATATTCTAACTGCTACGGTTTCGCACTTACTGCAGAAAAAAAAATGGAATCTTAGGATGTCATGAAACAAACATCCACGATATTGCATAAATCACATTTCCGAGAGTTTGTCGCTTGCTGAGTTGGGAACCACATCTAACAGCTACCTCTCCTGTTTATCTAGATGCTGTCGCACTGTCGTCAAATCTGCTCACTGGAACACGCGATGACACCTCAAGTCTGCTCTCCTCTTTGTCTGCTGCCATTGCTAGGTCCTCCACCCACGGAAGTCTGCCAACAATGACTGTTTATCCCTCCGCCACCGCCCATAGTACCCCTACCTTTGGTACCGTTCGATGTTACACTCACTATACGCTAATGAAACTGTGATTTGCAGAAGATATACCGTTTGAAGAGCCAAACCTCGATTCAATTGCTGTTCGCGCTCCCTATGTTTCTCGAAATGGTGCTTATGGTGAGTCACCCATTTACAGTTGTGCGCACGGTGCTTCGAACTCGTATTTCAGATAATCTTGGGACTTCACTGGAAGGTACGACGTTTGGCGTTGACGAGCTTAGTACCGTGGATCTTTCAAATGAAGATTTCAACAGCATGTTTGAACAAGTAATTGCTCAGTCACGTCCATCTGCTGGTCGCGCTGTCTTGGTATGTGTCTCCCCTCCTCTCGACTCATTTGCAACCTTCTCATTCTTCTTTACCTTGTTTAGGGCAACACCTCATCCGACTCTTACATGCATAACTACGCAATGGCTGGTCCAATGATCAGTGGCGCAGGTGTGTCAAATCGCTCAAGATCACCTCCTTTGAAACGACCAGTCGTTACCTCAGTGTACGAGGAAAATGAGCTGAAACCTTTATCAATGGGTTGGTTCAGTAATATTCAAAATATTTCCATCTTTTGAAACAAGACAGATCGTTTGCACTAAAGCATAAAGCATTCTCTCTATAGGCACTTGTGTTATGCATTTGATGTGAGTCCTGATTATTGTGTATTAATTGTTCGTACTTGGATACTGCTGTTTTCTGTTCAGTTATGCTACACCTGTTTAGTTTTCAAAAGCCAAACTTTGGAAACTCGTGTCCAAATAGCTTATACATGACAAAAGGTGTTGGAGAGATGACGAGTTCTTGATTTGCGCACAGTGAGGATCTGTCTTGTTCAACGTAACTTGCTCTCAACTTAGAATGAGCCAGTATGGTCTGGAAGATCGGGATTTTTGCACTAGTTTGATTACATCGAAAGAGGATTATAGCCTTCAATTTCTTGAAGTTTTGCGAGATCTGGGTTGTTTCTTTCGTTTTGAAGCAGTCATAGAACAATACTATCCAATGGTATTGATTGCAATGAAGCAGTGTCCAGTTTCTGGATAGGAACAATGAAATCATTTTGTAGACAGCAATAAATAGAAAATCTAGGCGATTTTTGTCGTTTTCGAATCTTTTAAAGAGAAATCTAGTGTTGATTCAGTTCGGGATGTTCGAAAATGCATGCCGAGTGATCTTAGCTAATATTTTTCTAAAACTTTTGCAATGTGAAGTTTAGAATAGTGCTCGTCTCACAGTTTTTTATGCTAGGTTTGTCACTATTACGAATCCAAACGTAGAAATTCCATCCGTGATAACAAGACGTGATCACTCATAATGACCTATAGCTTGCTTTCTGAGATTAATTGGTAGAGCTTAGCATAATTAAGACATAATTTCTCTCAACATTTCTTTTCGTAGGTGCCGGGGTGTACTGCGGTTCCACTTTATATTGGCCAGCCGAAAATATGTGGTCAGACCAGCAGAGAGTGTTCCAACAACAATATGGTGCAGGTGTATCGCGCCAGGTATAGTAGTCGTAGCCAGTGAAGTTATCCCTCCTCACCTCTAGTCACAACACTTGTATTCGTCCGTCTCAAGGCTAGATTAGCGTTTAGTGTAGTTAGTGGTGGATTGTCTAGCCATCGCCTAGTTCGGATATGTTGTAACTGCCGCGTTTTTGTCTCGATTCTTATGTTACCTGCTCTACGTCATGTTTGTGTCTCTTGGACGAAATCATGCCTATTCATGTCATTCGAGATGATATATTGTTGTTTATTGTTTTTTCTTTGCTCTGGCATTTCTATGTTACCGATGATTTTGTAACTGTTTTACCCAGACTTCCTCATTTAATGCTCGTTTTGAACGAGTTCCAAACTTTCTGACTCCTCTTTTTTTTTACTCTCAATGTTTCCTCCTTTCTTTGCAGTAGTCGGGCATTTACATCTGTACCTATGAGTAATGTTCTGTTTTCTCTATCAACGATTCGTCTTTGTTTGCCTCAGAACTGGGTTTTTTTAGCACCAGTTGTTATTAACTTTCTCCAAAACTCGCCTTCTCACTGAAATTAAGTATTAATCCGTAAACTGCAACAACAGCTAATCTTGAGCATCGAAAGGTCTTGCCCGGCTGCATCGGTGTTGTCAATGCATATCGATAACTTTCATCTAAATTTGTTGTTCATTTGTACAACTAGACCCCGATTCATTGCTAAGCGTGTACAAATATCTTTGTGATGTTTTGTAACGATGATCTTCTTTTAGTGTTTGGTAGATTGTTTTAAGTTGATAAATTTAGATACGCTAATAGGATTACGCTTTGGCATGTGTTGATAACAACAAGTTGATAACCATATTCTTTCGTGCGCGTAAAAAATGCGAAAATCGGTGAGAGCATATATGTGATTTATTATCAATTTCGAGATTGCAAAGAATTCTTTTCAAATTGTCAGAAGTTGGTCTATACAATCAAAGCTCGTAACGCTCCTCTTCTTCCATCTCGCGCTTCATTTCTTCCTCCTTCTTCCACTCATTCAAGGCGTCTGAAATGATACTGGTTGATCCTCGAGTTTTCATGAATCTCATTGCATTAAAAGTCCCTGCAGCTTAGCTTAGTGGATTTACAAAAAAACAGGTTTATAAGCATCATCATATTTCACCCAAAAGGTACGATCATCCAGTCCATCCTGTGAACTAATGAGAGGAAAATGTTTTTAGAATAGTCATAGGAGATCGATACTTTGGTTTTTATTGGATGTTTCTCTGTGAAATCATGAGAAATAATAAGCAATCTCATTATTGAATTTGGCCTTTTTTCTTTCTTTGACCTATCATTTCTCGGCTTAAGCTGATTAAAAGTAAATAAAATGCTGTTTTGCAATTTGTAAAATTTATCTAAGATTGGACTTGTTAGTGTCAGTAACTCCTGGATCAGAATTCATGCAATGCAATACATCTACTAAAGTTTCAAGCTCATTCTACCGCAACCCTACAAATACTAACTCAACTCGAAAACGTCCGCTCCAGATGGAACAACACCAGGCCAAATAAATTTTTTTCTAAAGGCAGCGTACACCCAAATCTTCGTCTTCCATGTTTTTATAAATGCAAATCACGCCACGGAATAGCCCCAAAATTGCGCCTTTTGAAGCCCTATTTTGGCAGTGGACGAGTGCTCCGGTTCTAGTCTCGTCGTATGCAACGGGACCATATCGCATGCAAGGGTGCCACATCACACAGTATTCGTCTCGAAGTTGCTAGTAAGAATTCAAGGGACAATCCATGGTTGGGTGGAGTGGAAAGGGGGCGGGGCGCAAAAAGTTGCAAGATTAATCTCTCTTCGGAGGCAACATTAGGAGACCAAACGCAGTCGGTCTCTTCTGAAGCCTACTCATAAAATAAGTAGTAACCTGAGGTGCTTGGATTCTGAGTGGGCACTGCCTTCAAGTTTATGTATTAACTTACTCTTATGTGCGCAACAAAAACTTATTCCGCAACTGGAGTGGACACATTGGTAAGGTTTATCGCACTTCATATTCTGCATAGGATCACAAGTTGTGGGATCATAGTTCGCCTTGCGTTGCACACTCCATCCATCTGGGCAGTACTCACCTGAAACAAAGCAAATGCAGTTTGAATAATAACTAGTGGACATACAGGCTGGATCATCTGGATCTGCTCGTTCATGGATTTTTATATCGGTAATTTTTTATAGAAGAGGTTAGGATCTGGAACTTACTGGTAGGTCATAGCGCTACAGTTGGGCTGTACAAATAATGTTTGATATTCTGAAATTTGAGAACCATCATTCTTTCGCTTTCAGCATGCAGATTGAGGAAACTATTGCCTTATAGGTGGAAACTTTGATTTTTTCATCCGCATTTAGATGAATAATGTTGTTGATTTTGTCAGGACTGCATTGCATATACGCAACTGAAAAACCAATGCTCTCTTTTTTGTGGTTGAAGTTTTGTCAACTTCCGCTATATACAAATGATCAGTATAGTATATTTGATTGCCTATATGCGGTACAGAAATAATCTGAAAGGTGCGAAAAACATTGATCTTGGCTAAGTTACACTTGCAAGAAGAATTGCATTCAGTATCGCCATAATAACATTTGAGATATTTCCCAAACACTTCGTTTCGCGAATGGAATTCTGTTTCGTAGAACGGGAATCGATTACTAATCAACATGATTTCCAAACTTGAGACAAAGGAGGAAAAGTGTCTGATAGGTAAAAACAACATCTTGCATTTTACTTTGAATATTACAGCTTTCTCTCTCTTAGACAGTTTTTGTATGCATCTATATTTGTTACAAAAATGGGGCACCAGTTTGGAACTTTGCTCGAATATTCAGAAAATAATAACGAAGTGACTACCTTCTATTCTAATGTGCCGTGCGGTTTGTTATTTGGCGGATCGAACAAAATCAAGTAAAACTAAAACAAGGGAATTATACTCGGTGTCCGTGGCCTTTTGAGATGAGATGTATGCCATCATACTCGCCTTGGATTCGCTGATTCAGAATCTGATTTCCGTTTTTGCTAATCGTTTCTCTGAAAAAAGTTATGAAGGATTTTCGCCTAAAGGAAATGTGGTCGGAACGGCAAAATTGCTGCGATGTGATGCAGTGGCTAGAGCGATGGCCTCACAAGTTAGTGCAGGCTTAGGTTTAAGTTCTTTTGTGTTCTTTGCATCGCCTCATTCAAGCTTCTTTTTGAAAGTTACGCATCCTTGACCATACTTCTCTTGGGCGACCATTGAGGCAAAATTCCTTCATAACTTTTAGAGAAACGCAGAAACGGAAGTCAGATTCGGAATCAGCGTTCTAAGGAAAGTGATGGTACACATTTCATCTTAAAAAGCCACGCCCACCGAGTATCGTCTCCTTGTAAGTAAAATTCAAAAATTATAAGCCATGCCCAGGTTTGAAGAAAAACAAAGTGGTGATTATAAAAAGACTTATACTTCTTCTAAATTTATCGGGTAATACACAGCAAGAAAGGCAAAGCTATTCAAAGGAAACAAAATAGACGTAGCTGCATATGCACCATTCATTCCTTTTTATTGTTCTGTAATGGTATGCTCATATTTTGACGTTTTGCACTTTTTAAGGCCAAGCAAGCACAGGTCGATATTGAATTTGTAATCTCCGGGCTTCATCATTTGTTATGTGTCAAAATGCAGTCTCGTGATGAATTACACAGCCTCTAATGCTGGAAAAAATTCGCAGTTTTACGATAACAGGAGTTAATGACCGCATTTAGGCCCCTACAAAAAATATGCTCAAGGTGTGTTGCTCGTGGCTGTTGACAACGTGACAGTTGTTATCTGCGCTAATCTTCAGTAGGCCTACTTATTTTCAAAACAGGAGCTGATGTGCGACGTTCGGTGATAACGCTAACGAGAACTGATAACGTTTGCATCGAAAAGTGCTCCCTGATTTAGGGTGTGCCTTGTTTACAGGAAAATAAGTCACTTCTATATGAAAAACCGGAACTTCAGGCAACGTTCTGTCAGAAAATTTTGCATTAGCTCCCAAAAGTACGTAGCGTTTTTATTTCGTTTTTTCTTTGAGAGGCTATTGATTTGCGGAAAGATGCACGTATTATTGAGATACAGCTGACCATGCTCTTTGAAATATACCTTTTGATAAGAAGCGATTACTTCGATTTTTTTGGTCCTTAAAAGTGGAATTTTTGAAAAGCAAAAAAGAAGCATTTCGGGATCCTTTTTTGTACAAAGAGAAGCGTTTTTGCCCACGATTGAATTTTCCAACCGATTGAGGAGAATCGTGTTCAATAAGAGACAAAAACAAGGATTAAACGGATTGCCCCTGAACAAGACTTTTCGTGGGACGACGAAGTTCTGCACTGAAAATCGCAGAACAGGGAAAACGGTCGACTATACTGCACGCAATCAACTGCGTTGCAAACAAATCTCAACTTCAGAAAAAGCATAATAGACACAATACCCTAGTGCCAAAAGTACAAGGCGCATTTTTTCCAAGCAAGCAGGCTCTGCTGGACCACTGCGCCTTGCGATATGGTCGGTTTTACATTCTCCAAGGTTGGGAGCAGCAAGTTGGAGGGTTCATTGTTGCGATGTACTATGGTGTGCCAGGCCGGTCGAGTTAAAAAAAAAGAAATGCGTCTCGTACTCGTAAAATTAGAGTAAGTGAATTTCCATGGATAACAAACTAGGGCTCCTTATGACAAACGTCACCAAAATTGTTCTGTAAGAACCTGCTGAGAGGTACCATCACTGTACCTCCTTTCTGTACCTTCTCCTCAGTTCTCTTTCCGAAAAGGTTTTCTTTCTGCTTTCTTGCAAACCATAAAGCACTACTTGTTTCGATTCTGAAGATGATCTTATGCGCTGGTTGAGTGACTTTTTTTGGGAACGCGCCGCTGATTTTAGAAGAAAAAAAAGTTGCGAATTTAAGGAAAGATGGCAGGAGGTTGTGCGCAGCAACGGAAATTACATCATTGAATTAATTCTGGTAAAATTTCATTGTTTTAGTGGTCTATGATCCTGTACGAACCTATGGAGCAAACTAATACGTTTCTTCCGTTGCAGACTCTTTCATACTGCTTATATATGTATGTGAAGCAACTTACTAGCAGAGCATGCTGCAGCATCTACTCGATGATAAGTAGTGATGGCGATCAGAGAAATAATCGAAAGCAATGCAGTCGTGGCGGTGTTGGCTTGACGCGACATCGGTGAAGTGCACGCGATTACCATCTGTATCGGCATGTGGACAGTGTTCGATCTTCATAGCGCTGACCTTCGTTGTGTTGGGCTGAGAGCATCCGCCTTACAGCTTTCTCGTACTCAATCGGAGAGATCAAAGAGGTTGCGGTCACTGCAATGAGTTCGCACATCTTTCTAATTCTGCCATGTTGTTGCTTTATGAAGTTCGCAAGCCAAGGGCCTGTACAATGAATCATTTTCTTAGCCGCTGGCATCTCGGGTCTCGCCCGGAGCACAGCCTCATTTGGTCTTCGGTCTGGAGCGTGAACTAGTCAGCAAAAGTAAAATTGCTGCTTTAGGCTTCCCTTCTCAAGTTCCGCACCCTTCAGCTTCTGCTGTCTTCGTCTGCTGCCTTTCGTTCACCTTCAGCCCCCATAAGCTAGTCTCCTATCCTGCGCAGGAAGAGCTTTGCTATCAACACAGTCTTATCTCTGGAAAGGGCTCTCATCGTGTCATTGCGTCATCATCATCACAAAACGAAAGTAAGCTCTACCGCTGTTATTGCATGAATGAGGGTGGTTTGATGATCGATGGGAATCAATTTGCATTGCAACGTGCAAAAATTCAAATAATCGACATATGAACTCGGCAGTGGGCCAGAAAAGTAGCTCAAAACCTTCTTCGGGGCATACGTGTGCGATGTTTCAGCTCAATCGGTTCACGCGCAGAACAGTCTATAAAGAGCATACTTTTTACATTGTAAGAACTTCGAGTTTATATTTATAAAATGGAGAACATTTCTAGGCTGACACATTTTTCATAGGCATCCAAGTAAATCCAAAAAGATGGGTTATGGAACGCTCTACGTGGAAGTGGACGCCTTCGACCATCCTTCGTGCGAGTCCGGCCATAACGTTTACCCAGAAGCTAAAAAAATTGCTCGAGGTTTTAGAGTTCATGAGAACTGTCCCATTCGTCTATATCTAGAATAGTAAATTTTGGGAAAAGCCTTGTCTTCTCTCCAAAGTGACGTTTTGGATTAAGCGTAGAGGATAAATCCAAGTAAGCACAAAAAGTCGTGGGTAAGCTAGAATTTAGCTACTCAGTCTAAATCGCACTTTTGATTTTTGCTCCAATGAATGCTCACAACTCCTCGTTCACAAACATTTCGCAGATAAGGAAGGCAGATTTGGTGTCAGCGTTTTATGCTTGTCAATAACGCAACTCATCTATAGAGGCCACTTCGACTATACATGCTTCCCTTGTAAGTGGTTCTCTGAAGAGACTGAGGAGCATTAACGCGAATTTTTCAAGAATTCCGTAGCGCAGTTCCATGTAAAATGTAAAAAAAAATTTAATTGGATTTCTACGTTGCTTCGCTTTACACTGCATCTAATCTGTAATCACCCTCAAACTGTCAAGAACTTTATTCATTATGACTTGAAGAAGTTTTTCCATTGAAACGCTCATAATTTTCCCAGGCTTAATAGATAATTAACGTATTCCGAGAAGCGCTTCAAGGCGAGTGCGATGATGTACAGCTTGTTCGCATTCGGCAGACCGAGTAAAGGCAGTGCTTGGCATATTGACAGTCTTGGGGTTATTCATCGTTCTTGACTTCCATGGATGAGCTAAGACCAAAACTCTCTTTGCGGCTTTTGGAAATAATTTTAACTCGCTTTTTTGGAGTAGAAGCTGTTGTATGGGCGGAAAGCTGAAACCGTTCCCTTTGTACGATTGACTGCTGCCAATAGTGCAGTTGCCGTCGAGATGGGTGGGATGTATACTTGGGACCGAATCGAATGATTATTCGATCATTCGAATAAATCATCCGAATGCGAATGATTCGAAAAGTCGAATATTCGAAAATCTGAGATTTCGAATAAAATTCGAAAGTCGAATATTCGAAATTTTCAGTTCTCGAATATATTCGACAGTCGAATATTCGAAAATCTTCATTTTCGAATATTCGAAAATCTTAAATTTCGAATGTTATTCGATAGTCGAATATTCGAAGGTCATTCATTCGATCATTCGATGTCCATCAAATATTAGAATATTCGTCGAGCAGCGGATATTCGAAAATTCGATAAGAATTGACTATTCAAAAATTCGATAAGCAACGAATATTCGAGAATTCGATATGCATAGCGTATACGGGGTGTCTTAAAAGTATCTACACACCGTTTGATCGCTAATACCTCTCAAAGTCTTTTGCCAATTTCTGGGTGACATCCAGTAGGGATAGCTTCAGCTTATAAAAACAGCAGAAAGCGAATCACCCATTTTTTTCTTATTGTGTGTTATCACAGTAGAAAACTCCAGCTTATAGACCAACTGCAAAATAAGACATCCAAAAAAATTGTCTCCAAAAAAAGGTCTAAAATCTGCGCAGCAGTGTTTTTACGTATGCTGATTCTACTACGCACGAGTTTTCAAGCTTTTCAAATGGCAATCACATTTTTGAAAGGCGTCGCAAAACACTTGTTACCGTGTATCGTTTGTTCCCTAGCAAAATTTCCATAGGTACCACGTTATGTCGCTGCCTTTCGCTATTTTGAACGTGTTAACCTCGGGCACTTCCGTTGAAAACTCAGGAGGAACGTGTCAAAAAGAGCGAAAGGCAGCGTCGCACCACGTACGCAGCTGATTCACGTGGGAACTTTTCTGGGGGACACAGGACACCGTAAGTTTTGAAAAAAGCATTACGGTTGAGTGCAAATTCTACCTAAAGTGAGTGTCTTTAGAAACCTAAAGCAAGACTTTCAGCCCTTTTGATTCTTTTTCTAGGGGAAATGGCTCTTGGTGTTTTGAAATCCACTTCAGTCTTACGGTAATTTTACAATAGTGAAAAGCGATTGATAAATCGCCCCATACTCTAAGTTGGTGTCAGCCTACAGATCTACATACTGTTGGGACCGCTGTATATCCAATCGCGACTCTCAATGAGGGTACATAATCTTCTTTAAAATACGAAAAATCTTTTCACAACCGTCATAGGAGTAGCTTGGTTCCTAAGTCCCATCACGTCACGACTAAACCGTTTTTCCATCGTAAAATGTACCATAAGAATGTGTCCATTCTTAGCACTTACATGAAACAATTTATTCTTAGCGTTTTGGCCTTTCATAGGCAGTCTCAATGATGTAAATTATTCGGTCAGTATTTGAAAATCGAATGAAATTCGAAAATCGAATAACATTCGAGAACCGATTAATATTCGAAATTCGAATAACGAATGATATTCGATATTCGAATATTATTCGATTCGAAGTTTTCATTTTCGAATAATATTCGATAGTCGAATATTCGAAATTTCCGATTTTCGAATAATATTCGAAAGTCGAATATTCGAAATTTTCAATTTTCGAATAATATTCGATAGTCGAATATTCGAGAATTTCGATTTTCGAATATTATTCGATATTCGATTATTCGAAACTTTCAATTTTCGAATATATTCGATATTCGAATATTCGAAAAAAATTTCGAATTTCCCCAAGTATAGTGGGATGTAATTTGACAAACTTGAACCTAATTGGAGTAGATTAAGAAAGTTCTGAGCAGCTAACGCTGCTTTGCATCTGTGAGCACAAATTAATTCTAGCCTGAACCTTTATCACAGAAGCGCATATGTCAGGAACAAGGGGTGTACGAGCCCTTGCCTGAAGGTGTAGCGGTGTTACGGTGTATTGAACATGATGATTATATATGTTTATTACTAAAGATATAAAAAGACAAAAGAGGTAGGGGGAGGGGAAGGGGTGAGTGTGAGTGTCCGTGAGTCCCTGAAGGTCTCCAGTCCTCTCTTATATGCAGGTCCGTCTTACAACAATAACAGCGGTTAGGGCGGGGTAAGATATTGCATAACAAGTGATGTGAAGTGATGACTCAGTACATTGCATAACAAGTGATGTGACTCAATATTACCCAATGTTATGCAATCTGATGAAATGATCTCATGACACATAGTTGTAAGATAGTCCTAACACTTGAAACGCTCTCCACAGACACTTGTACCGTGATCGCTGGAATTCTCACCGCATTGTCATATCTCAGTTGCAAGTTAGCGGATTCTGGATTTACTATCAACCCCACATTCTGCTTTTTTGATATATGAACTAGTTTCTTGGATAGAATAGTTGCAGTAGGCTCGGCTGCAACTAATGTATGTATTACAGGTATTGTAATCATCACATCGAGTAATCTTCCATAAACGTGAAAGGATACTTGAACCAGAGAAGATCTGGCTACCTACCGTACCCAAGCGGACACTTAAAGGTGCGTTTCGTCAAGCAGTGCTGAATGATCAAGTTCTAAGGCGGTTACTCCTTAGAAGTCCTCATCCCATGATAGACTTCCGTAATTTTTCTGACGAAATCGCTAGATATAGCACCAGTACTATTGCTTTCAAAGATTCTTCTCTGGGAGAAGCTCATCTTCATGGCGCACTACAATCGTTGAGCCAATTTCTATAAAGGGCTACAAGGCTGGGGTAAGCGGAGTTTAACATCATCAGTGAGCAAAGCTTTGAAGTAATAATTTATAAACAGATTTGTGCATTTTTTACTAGTAACCATCTGGTGCACGAAGCACAATACGGATTTTTGCTCAGAAGGTCCACACTATCTGCTTTAATGTCAACGGTACCCATGTAGCAAATAGTAGTTGGTGAAAGAAGTTCGTAACAGTTTGCTATTTGAATCAAAAGAAAGCCTTTGATTCTGTGCCCTCGGCTCTTTTTACAAAATCAGAGGCTACGACATCGAAAGCTGTCTATTGCGATTTCTTAAACTCTATTATACTTGACCGCACTCAAAGAGTGCGGGTTAATGAACCTTTTTTCAATCTATATAACAGCAAGCTGGGTGCCGCAGAGAACCTGCATGGGACCTTTGATGTTTTTGCTTTACATCAACGATCTGCCATTATGCTTCTCCAGGATGTACATTGTTTTATATATGCTGGTGATACAAAGCTCTCTTACTAAATGACCCTAACCTGCTCCGAAAGGTGAGCAGCGTCAGAGATCTTGGTGTACTCTGACAACCTAAAATTTGAGAAA